GATGCTCAATTCAAAATATACAACGAACGATGTATGAATAAGAATTTTCTTGAAGCTTGAGTGAGAGAGAGATATGAATTAGTTGAAAGGAAAAGTACTAATACATATTTTGATTAAGAAAAACTGTTTATGACATCGAATAATAGTAAATTAAAAAGTATTAGTAAATTTGTAAAAACATTGATATTTTAAACATAAAATTAATTTAAAATAAAGATGAATATTATATTCTTCTAAGAATACAAAAACGATTATATTATTGTAGAATAAAATTAAAAATATTGCAATTTTTTATTTTTCTTGTTAATAAAAACTGAAATTGTTTAATTTTTTTTTTATTTAAACTTTTACTCTGTAAATAATAATACTATTCAGGAAGAGAGATAATTTGCCTTAATTTAATAATACATTCTTATATAATGTTCTAAAGATTATAAATTGAATAGTAACTTTTATCAACATTTTTTGTATACAACAATAATTCACTGGAATAGAGAATTGATTATATATCACAGAGAAAGAGAGAAAAAGACAGAAAGAGGGAGGAACTACGTTGCTATCTTTGCATTCCCGAATAAGCTGTCCAAGTGAGTGACAATAAATAAATGATTTTCTCAGCGACATTTCACGCGCGAACGACTCACGCAATTAGAATTCGCTCCGGTCTTCGATCTTGCAATTTATCGCTCCTGCAAACCGTACAAAAATGCCGGCGACCCAATTCTGAACTAAGGATTCCTACAAATCGTGACGCTATATATTCCTCATATCGATTTCTCGCAATACGCGGATCCGATAAATTTTCCGCGAGATCCGTTCTAATACGATCTGCGACAAGTTCACCGCAGTTTCATATATTCATGTTACGAGATACTAACAGGCAAACGTATACGGTCGTCATATTAGCTTTTCTACCGCAGAGAAACTCGACAAATTAAACTAAACTCAAACGAATTTTCGAAACAAATATAAATTCACTAGAAGAATTTAACAAAATCTAATGGATTTTAAAACTATAGAATATATTTCGTACATCGACCATACTTTGTAATAAGCTTCAGCTAAAATTAATTAAAAATTAGCACATCTATTCATTGTGAAATCAATTTCCATAGAAGAAATTCTAGCATTTTAGAAAAAAAATGGTATTCCATAAAATAATTTTTAAGATCATTTCATATGCCAATTTATACGTCAATCTGTACTTCTTATTAAGCAGCACACATTCTCCAGCAGTGTATTTGACGCCTGACCTATTTTGCGCGAAAAGCGAAGCCGGTGGGGCTGCATAGCCGCCATCAGTGGCCCGAGTCCTGAATAAATAAACCGTGTCAGGTGGTGGTGGGCCACCTTATCCTTCCTTTTATCTTGCCGTTCTTCCACACCGGCTCTATCTCGTAATTAATTTCGTGGATATATACAGCAGCCCGAGCTGGCCGGCCTTTAAAGACGGAAATTCTCGCGGGATCGTTTAAGACGCGCGATTCGTACCGAAAAATACTTTGAATGTAAATTCGGTGGCCCATTTGCAAATTGCTCGACGGTCCTTCTACGGCTTTTCGTTAATGCGCGTGGCTAATGGATTTGGATTAGGATACTGCCTAAAGTATTTTTACACTATTATGCAGACTATCTCAGAAATCGGGTATTTATTTTAAGTTGAAAATACTGGAAATTATTAAAAAACAAACGAGAATATTAATAACAAAGCGTCTATGAACTTTAAATTTAAAAAAAGATATTATTATGTAATAAACAAAATTTCTTTAAAGTGATTATGTGTTTTTCGGTTAATTTGGGATAAAATATAAATTAAGCAAATTACATTAATATAAAATTTTTTTTATAAAAATATAAGCTTATCTTAAAAATATACAAGAGGATACTTGTTGCTATTACGAAATAAGAAATTTAACACTATAGCAAACTTGATTCTAATTCTTGTATAATTACTGTTTTAATTTTTACACGCGCATGTTAAAATTTTCTCACTCTTATCTAAGGACACACAATTTATTCTTCTCCAACTTGTTGAGTTAATAATAAAAGCGTGTTAAATATTTAAATAACATCTTTTGATGTAATTTTTTACTCCCCTTCCTTCGTATTCAAGCAACTCAAGTATCTCAAACATATATTTGTATATACAGTGATTCTGTATCCGAGCAATATATATTTATATATTGAATGAAATATTAATATAACATGAATCAGAATAAGTTAGAAACAGAAAGCAATAAGAACATTTTGCAAAAATCCAACGCTGCATGGACTAATTTGATGCAATAAGAAAAATAAAATTTTCTGTCGTTACAAGTATCGAAATGAATGCTAAATGCTCGTCGATATTAAATTTATATTCTTGTCGTGCTCGAAATCCAAATTTTTCTTTCTTTTATAGTGGGCCAAAGCAGCTGAAATACGGAAACGTGCTTCGATCTAACGCATATTTAAATCGTAATGAAACATTTAAATTTATTTTTCACGTTTTCATGTGAAGCTGCGGGCTGTTACGATAGATGCTGAGATCGATATTGTTTAATAGCCAGTATGTTCTTGCCTCGCAGCGGGAACTACAAGGGCCGTCTGGGCTTGCCGTACGTGGCCGGAAAGCCATGCAGCATGTGCAAGGATCACTGCACGCAGGACACGCTTTGCACGAACGCCTGCTATCACACCGATCTGTGGTCCAACTGCGCCGAACTGCTTAGGACGTTTGGTTCATGGGTCTGCGAGACGGACACCAAGGAGGGTCGTGAACGCCGAAAGTTCTGTGGCGCCACATGCAATTGCAAGGACAAGATCTACTACCATCATGAAGGGTAGGAGGGCTTGACTTTGGGTCCACCGTGTTGCATGAATAATTTAATCGCTCTGCAAAACTAAACTCAGACCTAGTGGGTGTTACGACGGCTAAGCGGCAGCAGATCGTTTAATGGAGGGTCGTGTTGTTTTATTGATGAGCTCGTTTGTTTAATAATGAGGGGACGCTGAAGGAACGCTCGCGATGTTATGAGCTAAGGCATCGAGAAAGGGAGAGGGTGGGAAAAGAGAAAGAGAGGACACACATAGAAAACGGATAGCGAGTAAACGGGATAATATGCTAGATGAAGTGATTGTGGGATTTGTGTGCTATCTGAATCTCTGGGGCCTAAATTTAGTGGATTCTAAGGATCTAAAATCTAATAGATCGATAGATTTTGTTCGGCAATTTAACAATTACTGCACATAATCTTTCGATTCCAGAGATTCCAACATATTCTCGTTGTAATATAATCCTTGAATTTTAGAACTCTGAATTTTTATAATTCTCGAATATTCAGGATCCTTTGAAATTTCACAAATTGCCGGTGTAAAACTCGCGTCTGTCTTTTATGATTTGCATAAAACTTCATTTTTTATGAAGTTTTACGCGAAGTAATCAATACATTTGCAAAAGTCATAATTTTTATAATGTGCTACAACAATACTTAATTTAACATTTAACTTCTTTGTGTATTCGTTTCTTCCAATAATATAAAAATAGTTCAAATAAAGAATCTTAAATAGAAATGGATTAATTTTTCAGATGAATGTATTGTGATATTGACATCGAGATTAAAACATATTATATTTAATGTCTATATTTTACATTGTTAGAGATTGATATAATTTCCTAATTAATATGCACGTACACGTACGTTTGCAGAAGAACAAAGTTCCAGGACTGGGTTTGAAAAGTTTTTATATATATAATATACACTTAAAATTAACTTTTTATCAGTGATTCTTTAATCTGCTTCAATATGTACGTATTCAAAAAAAGATGAAGAGATCAACTTTATATTTTATATTTATTTATAATTATTTTCACATTGCTTATGTTCTTATAAACGTGTATAAAGTAAAGTTTAAAACGTAACATTTTATCAATTTAATGTGATTGCCTGCGTGAATCATATTTTTGGCTTTAAATATTTGTCATATTATAAAATATTCTACATCAAGTTAATTAAATGAATAAACGAGAAACTCATTTAAGCAGAAAACATAATAAGCTTCGAACTTATTACATTTTGTAAATTTAATCGTGAATGTTTCGCATTTCTTCTATTTTTTATCTGAAAAATAACTTTTAAATAAAAAAATTGTAAATAAATCCAGTGGGTAACATATCGAAACTGACAATTATTAGACGATAGACGTACTTCTAATTTTAGCTAACTTGTTAAGAGAAACAATGTAAAAATTAAACTAAGCTTTGAAAAGAATGGTGTGTCGATGTTTCTTGTCGTGATATAACGATGAAACTTCCCTTTATTAGCACAATTAACGATAATGATAACAGTTATTTTTATCTTTAGATTTAACAACAGCGTGTTTACGTGCAGTGCGATATTGGATGAAAGCAAGCCGGAATTGTAAAGTTAACTCTTTACCGCATAATTTCTCTTACAATTAAGAATATATTTCGGATGAGTATAACACGGTGCATTTAATCTAAAGATATAATCTCTTCTCACGAAACGATTTACAAAGATACATATCGCGCGACAAAAATGCATTATTATTATATCTTCGTAATGATACGTTTATTATGTAAAATGAAAATTATCGGCCAGATCATGAATAAATAAAGATTTATAATAACAAAAATACAAAAAATTTCTATCGAGTAAAAGATAAATTTTTCTAAAAATAAAATATTGCCAATATTTTATATAAATGACATCATTATTGTAAAAAGTAAGATATAATATAGCGCATCGCACGGTTTGTAACTGGTTATAACGGTTAATGAAAAATCATTGTTGTTATTTTTATAGGAAGTGAAAAATCGATATTATGAAATATATGTCATAATAATGCGGTAAAGAGTTAAGATAAATCGTAAATCATAAAACACATAATCAATGCGTTGAGAAACAACACGTGTGATGAATGGCGAGCATGATTGATGATAATGTTAGGTGTTTGATTATCGATAATTAAGAAATTCGGTAAAGAGATATAACAGTGAATGTAACGGTACAGCTCCAAATAAAATGTTTAAACTGTAATACTTTTTGTCCACTTATAAAATAAATATCCTGTAAATATTACATTTTCCTGCATTTCATCATTTACTTAATCATATTCGAATAGCCATAATCCACCAATAATTGTTTCATTAGCATTTGAATAATTTACAATTGTAATATTGAAATAATAAAATTTATCAATACGTAATAAATGCATAAGCAATCCTTGGCAACGTATAATATCAAGAGAGTTGAGTGCCTCTTTAGTGCCTATAATAAATTAATATTACTGTTAAATTTTGACAAAGCCATACTCTCGATTGGGAGAATGAACGCATGTCGGTCGATTATGGCACATTTAATCGATCGTAATATTTATTTGTTGGGAATCGAAGGATTAAACGGAATTATATGGCGAATAAATCGATGAGAGCTGTAAGGGAGGGTGGAGAGAGAAGGAAATTATCCCCTAGGTCAAGAGAAATGTGCAATTCGAGTTAGCGGTGAACCGAATGCATACCTCTTTTTGCTTCAAAGGGCTTAGGAATGCTTTTCAAACTGTGTCTGGGAACCGACAATAATGGTTCCGAACTTCGTCAGACTTTTAAATGAAGAGCACTGCATTGAGATTTTCTTATGTCAAATCGGTGTAATTATCGATTTTGATATTAATCTTTTTGCTAAGCGTAAATATAAGAATAAGTAATTTTATACATTTCTCATTATTGTTTAGCATTTTAACTCTCGCATTTTAAATACGAAGGGCAAAATGCTAAACAATTAAATATTCAGTTATAGTCTTAATATAATCAAAAATAATTTTATTTTTCTAAATATTTAATAAGTATTACCAAACAGTTGATTATATTATTATGTTTGTAATACTTATTAAATATTTAGAAAAATTAAAATTATTTTTAGTTATATTAATCAAACATTTAATTGAAATTATTTCACTCAGTATTTGACAGCTATTATCAGACTCTTTTTTTTAATGTGTTGGATTCTAATTTAGATAATCTATTAGCTAAAAAAAAAATTTAATTAATTAACTAAATAAAATAAGTCTTTAAACAAAGATATGTAGCAGAGAATATCAAATAATGTATTATTTTATAAATCCTTTTGCCAGTTGAGCCGGAATAGGCTGCTCAGAGCGATACAATCATCAATTTCCAGTATCAAAGGACGCAAGCGAAAATCGATTTTATCGTAACGGGCCCCACCAAGTGGAATAATACTCGTTCGTCGCGAAATTGGGCCGATTTGTCCATGGGCTGACGACTTCGGCAAAGCCGAAAGGCCCGACACAGATTCCTTTGAACATACCCGTAGGAAAGCCGGCAGAACCAAATGGCAATGCCATTCCGTTGCCGATAATGCCACCACGCGCTTTCGTCAAAGATCGGCGATCGCATTGTCGTGAACGAGCAATTTCCTACCGTACGTCTTTCGAAGATTTCTACGAGGCAATTGAAATCGACTAGTCGGAGCGAAAGGTTCGTTCGCTGAATTTAATCTTTTTTGTAGTTCCTTGAATTCTAGGGTGTAAGATCTAGAGGTGCCCGAGGAGATTAAGAGTACCGCGAATAGAAATAATGTAGGAAAATCTAAAAGAGCACGAGAAAAGAAGATTTATTTTACAAATTGCCTTCAAGT